CCTGCAGGTCAGGCCATTGCACCCCCTCAGCAGTGGGGCAGGGACACATCTTTGGTGCAGTGTCCCCAGCTGAGGTGCTGTCAGCTGGGCTGGGGGCTGTGGAAGGGACTGACAGTGGAGAAACCCCCTGCCTTTCCCCTGCAGGCGAATAACATGGGGGAAATACATGAACTGTGGGCAAACCTGCATTGCCCCAGACTACATCCTCTGTGACCCATCCATCCAGAGCCAGGTGGTGGAGAACATCAAGGCAACTCTCCAGGTGAGGCAGCAGCTCCCAGTGCTGTGGGAATTGTCCCCATCACAGCCCAGGTCTGAGTTGCTGGAGCTGTTGGTAGGTGTGTTGAGCACTTTGTTTCTGCTGTGCCTTTGTCAGGAATTCTATGGGGAGGACGTGAAGTCGTCTCCGGATTATGGAAGGATCGTCAACAAGCGCCACTTCAAGAGGGTGATGGGCTTGCTGGAAGGGCAGAAGATCGCTCATGGGGGAGAGAATGATGAGGCCTCCTGCTTCATAGGTGCTGCTGGCTGGGAGGGGAGGTGTTAGGGGGTGCCCTTTGGGGTCTGTGTGTCTGTGGCTTGCTTGGGTTACGTTGAGCACACAGACAGTGCCCCGAGGTCTTGTGATGGACCAGGTGTTCCGTCCTGCTCACTCTGTTCTCCTCTTTGTTGCAGCACCAACCATCCTGACCGACGTTTCCCCGGATTCAAAGGTGATGGAGGAGGAAATCTTTGGACCTGTCCTGCCCATTGTGACCATGAAGAGTGTAGAGGAAGCCATTGAGTTCATCAACCGTCGGGAGAAGCCCCTTGCCTTGTATGTCTTCTCCAACAACAAGAAGGTGGGTCTGGGCAGCGGTGCCTCAGTGTGATTGGATCCTGTACTTGGCTGGTCCCAGAGAGGGCTTCCTGCAGGGTCTGTGTCAGTTCCTTTTCCATGTGAGTTGCAGCCTTTGGCTCACGGGGGCCATCAGTGTCCCCAGAGCTGCTGAAGGGCTCTGGATTTGCACATCTCCCCGTCCTCTCAGCTGACCACCCACGCAGGTGGGTGCTGGCTCCTGGCATGTCTCCTGCCCTCACTCCGGGCTCTGTTGTGCCAGTTCAGGAATTCAGGACAGGGCTTTACCCTGTCACAACAGTCCCAGCTGGTTTGTGTGGGAGGGCTGAGAAGCACCCTAGGCTCTGGGTGGATGCACCTCTGCCTCTGACCTGTCCCACCGAGATGGAACCTTTTGAGGTCATGGCTGTTCCAGTCGGGCAGATCTTGTGCTTAAGTGATGTAAACTGGCCTCTCCCTCGGAACAAGGCACAGACTGTGCCCTGCACAGAGCGGGATGGAAGCACCAGCTTGAACCCTCCCTGCTCT